AGAAGATAAACTAACCCAATTTACTCCTCATTGTCTTTACGGTGGTGCTGGATGTAATTAATCGCGGGGTCCCCCCGGCTCAGGAGTCGGTGGAAGCAGGTATTGATGCTGTGCGGGACCTGCACATACCCCCCCACAGGACGGGAGCAGCCCTGGCCGAGCTGTGCCTCGTTCCCCGGTTAACCCCGAGCCTCTTCTGTTCCCGGAGCTCAGCTGGACGCGGGAGCGGAGCTGCGGGACCCGGGCAGGGCAGCGCCGCCGCTCCTGCCCCGCGCTCTTTAACTCTCCTCTGCAAATTGCGTTAGGATGTGACAAATTGGCCGCCAAGCAGCTAAACGGAGATGACATTTGGAGCGCCGTGCCGGGCAGAGCGGCGGAGTCTCGGGGAAATAAATGTGTGATTTGCAGGCTCTTCCCGGCAGCTCCCGTTCGGCTCCACCACGAGGCTTTCCAGAACTTACTTAGGGAACTCCTGTTGCAGCTAAATGTGGGAGTCTCGAGCATGCCTGGGAAAGGTTGCCCAAAAGCTAGGGCAGATGTAGGTGCAGACTGTGTCTCATGCCGTGGGCAGCTGAGATGAGGAGCAGAACCGGGAGAGAAAGCAAAGCCGATATTTAGAAACTGCGTGAGTGGTGAGGAGCTGAAGGTGGGAAGCTGGGCTGGCTGCTGGTGCCAGCGTGACGCTGTGCCGGGGGTGCGGGGACACCTGTGTCACCGAGGGGTGATCCTGGGGGTGCGGGGGCGCCTGTGTCACCGAGGGGTGATCCTGGGAGTGCGGGGGCGCCTGTGTCACCGAGGGGTGATCCTGGGGGTGTGGGGACACCTGTGTCACCTAGGGGTGATCCTGGGGGTGCAAGGTTACCTCTGTTCATTGACGGGTGATCCTGGGGGTGCAGAGACATCTTTGTGCACATCCTGGGGGTGCAGGGACACCTGTGTCACCTAGGGGTGATCCTGGGGGTGCAGGGACACCTTTACTCACTAAAGGATGCTCTACTGATGGAGCAGGGGCACATTTGCTCCTAGATGGATGCTCTCCTGGGGGAGTAGGGGCACCCTTGTCACTGATGGGTGATCCTGGGGGTAAAGAGGCACCTTTGTTCACTAAATGATGCTCTCCTGGGGGAGCAGGGGTATTTTTGGTCACCCAGGGATGATCCTGGTGGAGCAGGAACACCTTTGTCATCAAGGGATGATCCTGGAGGAGCAGGGATATCTTTGCTCACTGATGGATGCTCTCCTGGTGGAGCAGGGATACCTTTGCTCACTGAGGGATGTTCCTGAAGGAGCAGAGGTCCTTTGCTTACTAAAGGATGCTCTGCTGATGGAGCAGGGGCACCTTTGTTCACCGAGGAGTGATCCTGGTGGAGCAGGGGTATCTTTGCTCACCGAGGGATATCCTGGGGATGCAGGGATGCCTTTGCTGGTTCGTGGCTCTCGGAGAAGGGACTGCCCCACATCCCAACAGCGGCGTGCCCACCTGCCCCTCTCACCCCGCCTCTCCAGCACATCCGCGGCCGCTCGCACACGGCGCTGATCAAGCTGCTTTAATTGGCCCCTCTGCAGCCCGAACGATAAATATGTAACGGGGCAGAGTGCCCCGCTGCTGCTCCCGGCTTCGAGCCTGTCATTTCTGACGGGGCAGGGCGGGCTCGCTCCCCTCGCCTCCGCCCTGCGACAGCCGCGCTCCCCCTCCTGCCTCCGGCATCCTTAAAAACAGGGGGAAAAAATCCTGGAAAAAGGATGAACCTGAGCATGCAGTGCTCCTGAGACAGGCCCCTTCACATTTCTAAACACTCCTGATTATTCAGCTAATCTTTATTTCATGGGCCTGTTACAAGAAACACAAACGGGGGAGAAAGTAGAAGGCGGTGACACATTTAAAATACACAAGAAAAGTGCTGGCAGGAATATAATCGTTCTTCTTCCAGCGATATGAAATATTTATGGGCCTAAGTTGTGGCAAGACTCTCTGCCTCCCCTCCCACCTAACTCCGGGATGTTTTTCCCGGTACAACAGGAACGGGGGGCACCGCTGGTGCTGCCTGTCTGCAGGGCACCCAGCTGGCCGCGCACAGCGTCCGTCTGTCCGTCTGTCCGTCTGTCCGTGCAGGCTGCCCGGCTCAAACGGGAGCGGAGCTGTTACAGTCTGTTAACTCCAAATAATTCAGCAGCGTCCCCTCGGCGAGCCGTGCAAAGCCCCCTTTGAGGTGCCCGTGTTGCGGAGGAGCCGCTGCTCCCCCGGGGCACTCTGCTATTAATTCATTAGATCTGAGGGGTTTTTTTCCTCCCGTCCCCCCTCTTTTCTCTTCCCCAAGCCCCCCCTCTCCCTGGCAATTCAAACAGTGATGAATGGACAAAAATCCCTCAGGGGAAACATTTTTTCACTTAGTTACAAAGATTTCATGGCTAATTAGAGTAAATGTGGTTTTTAGAGTGTTAATCTCTTAACCAGCTTGGCTGGGAGGCCACCGCCACCACAGCAAAGGCGAGGGCGGGGGGACCGAGGTGTTCCCGACCCCTCGGGGCTGGGGCGGTGTCGGTGCCCCCGGAGCATCCCCGGCACCTCCTCGGGCGGTGCCAGCCCCAGGGTGGGCACAGCGGGGCCGGGGGCGCTCGGTGCGCCCGGGGAGCGGCGGCTGAAAAGCGCAGCGGGGACCGAAGGGAATCCAGGGCGGCAGCGCAGTCTGCAGCGCAAATAACCGGATTTATACTGCGGGATGTGCCCGCAGGGACTCGGGCCGGGCTGTGTCCCCGCGTGTGGCTGTGCCACAGGGTGGCCCTGCCACCTCTCCTGAGTGCGGGCACACAGCGGGTCCGTGTTGCCAAAGGTGTTTTGTGGTGGAAATCCTCTCATTTTGCGGCCGTGGGAGGATTTATTATTTTCTTTATTTCTTTTTTCTCCGGTTCTCCCCACCTGGCATCCGCATCCCAGCCTGGTTTTGGCTGCACCTTCAGGGGGGAAATGGCGAAAGGGGCAGAGAGGGCTCCTGAGGCTGCTCCCCCCGGCACCCACAGCCAGCTCGGGAATTGGGGTGGGATGTGGGCTTGAAATTCCTGCTCATCCCACTAGAGGGGATCCTCTGGATCCAGCTAAAACCGGAGCACAAGCCCAGCAAGGAGCGGAGCAGCGCCTGGTGCCGATGGGGCGCAGGGCTGGAGAGCTGAGCGGGGGCACGGGGGGATTTTGGTGCTTTTCGGGCATTCCCGGTGACCCGGGCTGGCTGTGTCCGTCTGTCCTCGCTCCGTGTCCGTGGCTCCTGTGCCCGGGTGGGGCGAGGCTGCTCCAGCAGCATTCCCGAGGAAGAACTTCGCCAAGCACACGAGTGCAACACGTGTGAGGGATGGAGCCGATGCGCTGTGTGCTCCCTGCAGGGCTGGAAATCCCGACCTGGTACCGGGATAAACCAGGGATGGGGGGCTGGGAAAGAGGAGCCCTCCCTCCTTATCAGAGAAAGCCCATCTCATGTTTCTCCCCGTAATCGCAGCTTCTGTTTGGCTGAAATCGACCTGCGAGGGGGGAGTGAAAGCGAGATAAATGTATCCGACTATGAAAATTTAATCCTGCTTTGCCCGGGCTAAAATTGCATTCAGAGCTAGGGATAAAAGGCATCAGAGCCACGTTATAGAAAAGTCCAGATGATCTCTGAAGGCATGGGGAGGGTGAGCCTGGGAGGGCCCTGGCAGGGCTGTGCTGTGCCCTCCTTGCCTGGCACTGCCCCTGCCCTGCTCCCTGCTGGGGGCACACTCAGCTCCATCTCCCCACTTGCTGAAGGAGAAGGTTCTTCCAAGAGTTTTCCCTGTGGAAGTTCTGTCATCCAGCTGATCCCAGCTCGCTCTGTGCCGGCCAGTTCCTAAACCCTCAGTGCCCAGGGGTGACCCCACTGTGCTCCTGAATGCCTGGGCAGCTCCTGCAGGGCTCCTGCCCATTCCCAGAAGGAGCCTGGAGCCGTGCCCAGCCCCGTGTGGGCTTGGAGGCTCCTGTCCTGGCCCCTGGCTCTCTGGGGCCAGCTCCATGCTGTGTTTGCTGTGACAGCAGCTTCCCGGGAGGGAACGTCCCTCCCAGCCCTTTTCCTGCTCCAGCCCCTTTTCCCCACTTCATAAAAGTGAAAGGTGATGTCTGAGTAAATATTGCCCTGACCCCTCACCTCCGCTGCTCCCGCTGCTGCTGCTGCATCCCCTGGGGCTGTGCTGGGAGCTGGGGGCTCTGGGGGGCTCAGGGCTGGAACACAAGCTCCATGTCTCAGCTGGAGCTGGACAGGAAGGGCAGGGTCCAGCCTGGCTGCCCCGAGCATGGTCAGTGGCTGCTGGGTTCAGTGTGAGCTCTGCCCGTGAGTGTGACAGCCACCAGCACTGCCCATCCCCGTGTCACAGCCCTGCCAGAGCCTGGGGGGAGCAGGGAGGAGTCTCTATGGGAAACCACAGCAGGAACAATCCCTGTGAGCAGGAGAGGGGGCACGGGCAGGGAGAGCTGAGTGTGGGCGCAGCCCCTGCCCCTCTGTGTGACCTGGCAGGGCTGGACCAGCATCTCCCACCTGCCCTGGGCTGGAATCATGTGTGTGGATCAGCTGTGGCAATGCTGGGGGTGTTTGTGACAAATCCAATCCCATTTTCCTGCTGAAGGGATGGACGGGAGAGCGAGTGACCGTCCTTGGCAAGGCTGTTCCTGCTGGTACAGCACAGGCTGGAGCAAACTGCTCATTTTCCTCCAAACTGCTCATTTTCATTGTCCCGCAGCCCCTGTGTGGCTGTGACACAGGGTTTGCACCCCAGCAGTTTAACCCCCGCCGTGCCAGGCTCTGGAGCCCCGTTTCCCTGCCTGGGGAGGATCAGGAGGACAGGAAAGCCGCGGGCAGCGCCGGCTGTGCCGGAGGAAGCGCGGCCACCGCGGCCCCGTCACTCCCTGACTCAGCCTGCAAGGAGTTCCTCCTGTCATTTCCAGCCTGGGAACAGATTCCTGCAGGAGACTGATGGGCAGTTCTTGCTCTGCCATCAGCCAGAGCCTGCAGTGATCCCCGGTGTGCCGGCCCTGCTGGAGGGCACTGGGCACCCAGTGAGGGAAGGACACGAATCTGGAGGTGCTTTCCAGCTGTTCCTGAGTCTCCCTGCTTTGCTTTGTTCACCTGGGAATGAGCGTCCAAAAAGTGAGTCTGTGCTTTTGAGGTTAATGCCTGGACGGCACTCAAAGGAGGCTTTGAGCTGTTTGGATTTGTGTGGTGGTTTCTGGGCTCTGGGGTTTGCCTTGGCAGGGTTTCCTTCGAGCCCAAAGTGGCCATTTCCCCTCAGGATGGGAGGCTGGGATGCTGGGAATTGGCACTTGGGAAGCTGTGGTGACTGTGAGTGTGTTGGTGGCAGGGTTCAACCCGCAGGTGATGGCCCTGAAATTGGCATTTTCCCAATTTTTGGGGAACGTTTACCCACAGCAGAGCCCAGGGGCTGGGTGCTTGCCCAGGTAGCCCAGTGTGAGGGGTTCACGTGTGGGCAGCTCGTGTGAGGAGCTTTGTTCCCCGTGGCTGGGCAGATTTATTGGTGTCAGAGCAGAGGAGCAGGGAGCTGGCTGAGGAACAGGGATGTTACAGTTCAACTCCATAAAACACGCCGGCTGTCTGCTCTGCTCACTCATCTGCCAAGTCCCCAAAAAGTCGCAGTGACAGGAGCAGAGGATGGAGCTCTGCCCTCATGATCATATTTCCTGTCTCTGCTGGCTTATGTCACAGCCTGGAATGTTATTTGAACAACAACAAAAAAAATAGCCTGCGAATTTCCTTTTGATTTTTAATGGAAGTGTGAAGAGGTGGGGAGGAAAAGGGAGCGTGCCCGGAGCTTTCCTAAGTGCCTTGGTTATTCTTGTGCTGCAAATATGACATTTCACAGCTCTGAAATCTGCTCTGAAGTCAAAACAGAAAACTGTGCAATGGTCTGGGTTGGAAAAGACCTCAAAGGTCCCTTCCCTGGGGTGTCCAAGGCCAGGTTGGATGGGGCTTGGAGTAACCTGGGACAGTGGAAGGGATGGGAACTGGATGGGATTTCAGGTCCCTTCCAACCCAAACCATTTTGTAATTCCATGATAAACCCAGAGTAAGCAAACTGGCAGTGAGAGCTTTTCAAAGCCCGCCTTGGGATGAGGAATCTTGTGTTTGCCTTAAACCTGCCAAAACCCCTGACTTTGCCGTCTGCCCCTCTGGATTTCCAAGTGCATTGAACACCAGAGGCATCATCCCATGTGGGGCTGGAGCTGGGATGGAAATGAGCAATGAGCTGGGCTGGGAGCTGCTGTGGCAGAGCGAGGGGCGCTGCAGCTTCTCTCTGTCCCTCTGTGAGATTTCCTTGCAGCTCTCGAGGAGTTAATCCCAGCCCTCTCCTGGAGTGCTTGGCTCCACTGGCAGCTGAGGAGCCTCCTGGAGCAGGAATTGTGCTCAGAGGCTGCTCAGTGGTGACAGGTCCAGACTGCCTTTAAAAATCTCACAGCAACCGAGGAGCTGGGGCCAAACTCGCTGGGCTCGGGGGGAGACAGAGACAGCAGCTCCTGGCGTGTCCCCGGGCCACAATGAGGTGCTGCTGCAAGGGCTTGTGTAACTCTGCTTTTCAGGGCAGGAACTGTGTACCAGGGACAAGCTCTGTGTGACAGGGACAAGCTCTGTGTGGCAGGGACAAGCTCTGTGTGACAGGGACAAGTCGGTCCCGCTGGATGAATTCCCTGGGCCGAGGTTGGGCTCAGCTCAGCCGTGCCAGAACAAACTCCCAGGGAGAAAACAACAGCACAGGCTCTTGTGAGGACTTCCAAGGGGGTTGTGTAACTTGGTTAAAAACCAAAATAAAAGGATAAGAATTGGCCCAGCCCAGGGTGCTGGGTCACGGGGAGGCTTGGGCTCAGCAGGGACAGGCTGGGGGGAATTGCAGGGACCTTGCAGAGGGGGGTTTCACTTCTAAAGTGTTGGATTTTAACCATCCACTGCCTCACGGGCTTGCACCAAGGAGCTCTGTGTCAATCCTGCCATTGAAATGAGATTGAATTGACTTTTATACAGGAATTGCCTCCCTGGGGTGAGCCCCGCTGGCACAGGGCTTTGGGCAGCTCACCTGCCCCAGCAGAACCTGCCTCCACACCCTCTGAGCTGCAAAGATCTATTGGAAACAAAACAATTTTGTCAAATTTCCTTCTCCTCCCAAGATTTATAAAAAACCCATTATTTTTATCCCAAACTGCAGAATTTTAACATGAGAAGAAACAGAATATTGGCTCATTTGTTCATCCCTGCGAATTCCTGCTTCATTCTCTGCGAATTCCCATTATAAACATGACACTTGGGCAGATTATCTGCTTTAGCCATCGTGTTACTGAGGGGGATATCACATTAATTTCCTTGTCATTGCGTTTGTTCTCATCTGTGTGGGATCATTTGCTTCAAAGTCTTGTGATCCTTAATGTAACTCACTTGGTCTTTGCTTCGAAAAAGACAAAGGGAGCAGCACTCAGTGCTCCTGGATTTTCCAAAATCACTGGTTTCCCTCAGATCTGGGAGGTTCTTTTTGGCCAAGCAAAGCTGGGTGGTTTTGGTGAAAATTCCACAGGTTTTGGGCCAGAGACAGCTCCAATTGTTGAGTTTTGGCTTTGCCCAGTCCTCGAGCCCTGCAGGGATGTTTTGGGGATCTGGAGGAGCAGTCTGTGATTGTAAAGGGGAGTTTTATAAAACTGAACCAGCTGAGAGTGGTGCCCTGGCCCTCACAAGATGTTTTGTTGTGTTTTTGGAGGAAACTCCTTTTGTGATGAGTCCCTGAGTTTGCCAAAGGAACCCTGCCACAAATTCAGCCGTGGCTTCTCTCCCTGTGGGATCCTCTGTGCATTTTATGGAGATTTTTGTGCTCAGTTCTTGACCCACCTCAGGGCTGTGTCCCCTCAGGGATGATGGGGTGGCTCTGGTCCCCCTGCTGCTCCATCCAAGCAGAGCCCTGGGGATCTGGGGACACCTGGGATGGGGCTGGGACACCTCTGTGGGGCAGAGCTGAATGCAGGGGTGCTGAGAGCTCCCGGGGCAGCCAGCCTGGCTGCGTCCCTGTGAATTATGGCCTCGCACATCCTGAAGGATTTATTGTTTTCCGGCAGGGCTGGAGCCTGTCCCACAGGCAGGAGTGGGAGGAAGTGACTCAGTTGCTCTGCAGACAAGTGCAGCTTTGAGCTGCAGGGAGGCAGGAGCAGCCCAGGGTGTCCTGAGGGAATTCCTGGGAATTGCTGCTGCTCCTGGGGCTCTGGAATGGGCAGGGAAAAGGCCAGGCTGGGCAGTGGCAGCAGGAGCTGTGGGGTGGGGATGTGACAGCAGAGCAGGGGACAAGGGAAGGTGCCACAGAGCAGGGAGAGGCTGTGGGTGCTTTCCTAACTGCCTCAGTAATTCTTATAATGATAATAATAACCAGGGCAGTTGTGCAGGGCTGGGAGCAGCTGCAGCAGCCCATGGCCAATCGATTGCCACGCCAGGGGCACAGTGTGGGACACAGCCCCAGCAGCTTCCAGGGGCTTTTATGGGATGTTTTCCACCCCCACAGGCAGAAACACGGTGACCCTTCCTGGGTGGGTGCTGCAGCTCCCAAATCTCCCCTCCTGTCACCCCCATTGTCCCCACAGTGCCGCTGTTTGTGGGATTTGTGGAGTTCCTGGTTTTGCTCAGGATATCTCATCCATCAAAGTGTCCAGCCCCTCTTTAGCCTCAGACCTTGTGGCTGATGTCAGATGTGCACGTCAGCAGCTGCTTTCTCCATCTCAGTCTCAGCTTGGTTGGAGACAGAGAAGTTTTTAAGTGACAGAGATCCTTAGCAAAGAAACGAGAGTTAGTGTTAAAAATAAAGAAAACAAGACAGCTCGTTTCATCTAAACAGAAGGGTTATTAAACAGGCTTGAATTAATCAGAGACCTGCCAGAGCTCTGAAATTGAAAAGCAGGGCAGAGGAGCAGGGAGCACACGAGTGTGAAGGAGCCACTTTCTCAAGCAGACATTGATGTCCCAACGCTCTGGGAGAGGAGATGATGTTCAGCTGATGGTGGCACAGAGGGGAGGTGGCTCCAGGCTTTGGGGTCCTTGCTTGGACCTCAGGCCATGAGGCTGGGGGCACCCTGGGAGCCCCCTGACCCCAGATCAGCTTGGTGCTCATACAGGGAGATAAACCCAGCTCGTTGCTGATACAGGGAGATAAACACAGGTTGGTGCTGATACAGGGAGATAAACCCTGCTAGGTGCTGATCCTGGGAGATAAACCTGGCTGGGTGTTTATCCCAGGAGATAAGCCCAGCTTGGTGCTGATACAGGGAGATAAACCCAGTTCAGTGCTGATCCCAGGAGATAAACCCATTCTCAGGGTCAGGGAGCTGCACCAACCATGCCCAAAGGTCCCCACACCCCAGCCCCACAGGCTGAGAGTGACCCCGGGCTGTTTTGGGGACACTCAGCCCCCCAGCAGTAGCTGTGCCCAATGCCCCACGTCCTGCCCTGCTGTGTGAATGCAGCCAGGATCACACCCAGCGCTCTCTGGCACAGCCCAGGAGCTCTGCTGCACCAGCTCTGTTTAATGGACTGCCTGGGGACCCATTTAATTTGGAGCTGGGGCTCTCCACTTGCCTGTGGTGTGCTTGGAGCGAGGCCAGCAGGAGCTGCTGCTTGTTTTGCTCCTGCAGCTCGCTGTGATCCTCCCTCTGCTGCTCTGTGACTTTCCCTGGTAATAAACTGCAGCTGGATGTCACCTGGGGACACGGGGCTGGGCTGGGGCTCGGGAGATAAAACTCCTGCCTTGCCACTGGGACCTTTTGCTTAGCCTTGGGCAAATCATTGCCTCGTTTAATCTGCTTGCACCCGAGGTCAGCAGCCATTAAATTCCATTTTGTTGGGAACTAAGCCCATGAATAATCAAAGGATGCTCAGGTGGAGAGGTGGGTAAAGCTCAGTCCATCAGGACTCAGGTAGGAAACCAGGAAAAGCACTTTGTGAGGCACGTAAAACTGACCCAGATTGCCTGGAGGGGTTGTGGGTTCTGTTTCTGGGGGTCCTTGAGGACTCTTTAGAGAACAGCACAGCACTGATGGCTCTACCAGCTGGGCCTGCAGCAGGAGGCTGTTACACATCACAGCTCTCCGTCCAACTTTGCTCTTTCAACATCATCCAGCACCAGTGACCTGTTTACACAGGTCTGGCCGAACCCCAGCCTCCCCAAACGTGACTAAAGCAGCCATGAAAGCTCAGAAGTGTTAAATTCCCCCTTGGTGTCAGACTTCAAGGCAGCCAGGGTGGGCAGGCTCTGTCCTGCTCCGTGTCAGGCTGTCACCAGCCTGGAGCCTGGGGAGTGCAGCCCTCCTTGGGCAGTTCTCCACTGGATTGTCCAGAGGAACAGCAGCTCCTCTTCCCCTGGATCTGCAGAGGAACACTCCATCCTTTTCTAGAGGTTCCCTGCTCTCTGGTCTCCATCTGTTCCAGCTGTCCTCCCCCGATGCTGTGACAGCTCTGGATGCCCCTGGGATGGGGACTGAGGAGCACAGCCTGTCCTGGCCTGTCCAGCAAACCTGGGGCAGCGCCAGGGGTGGCACTGGGTGTGCTGTGTCCCTGTCCTGCAATCTGCAGCTCCAATGCTGGGGCTCAGGGCAGGGCCCCCCTGGGTTTTCTGCTCCTCTGGACCCGTTGGGATGTGTGTGTGCACAGGAGGGAGGTGCAGGGGAGAGCTTTGCACAGTGTGTGCTGTGTAAACAAATGGCTGGGCTCCGGACAAATTTTGTGCATAATTGCTGTGATGTTGTTTGTTATCAGGGAAATGCCTTTTCGTGGCTGGGCTCTGTTCTTCCCCTCCTCTTCCTTGTCCCAGGCCTGGAGGAAGCAATAATCACAATGCTGTGCTTTGCCCTCTTAACTCTTTCTCAGAGGGCTGTGGATGGCATCCCTGGGAATGAGCAGCCCTGGAAGGGGGGCACAGCTCCTGGCACAGGTTCGGCCCTGGCTGCCAGCACAGAGCAGGGACAGGGCCAGCCAGGAGGCTGCATTTTGGTCCGAAAAATAATAATATTATAGTCTGAATATGAGTATGAATAATAATATTATAGTCTGGATAGGAGTGTGAATAATAATATTATAGTCTGGATATGAGTATAAATAATAATATTATAGTCTGGATATGAGTATGTGTGAATAATAATATTATAGTCTCCATTAGGATGGCAGTGGGAGAAAAAATCAGAACTGTGATTATTCCTTCAATCTAATAATTATTTAAATACCTGGACCCTTTGGGTCCAAAACCCAAAGTGTTCAGGTTGTGCTTTAGGAAAAGTTTGTTATTTGTCATCCCTGTGGGGAAATCTCTGCAGAAACCACACCAGGTTCCTCACTGGTGATTTACAGCTTGTTCTCATGGATGATGGAGTCAAAATATTAACTGAAAAAGGCCAAGAGGAGGTGGTAGGAGCCATCCTCATGGCTCTGTGTTACAGAATTCCAGTTATTCACACCCAGGTGCCATTGGGGTCAGGCTCCTGGGTGCTGTGGTGGCTGTGGTGGCCTGGCCAAAGAGGCAGCCCTGAGCATCCAGACCTCTGATCCACGCTGGAAACATCCCAGGGCTTGGAGAAGCTTCCATCAGACACTTTGGCTCAGACTTTTTGCCTAATTAAACCCAAACCTCATTAATTATGGCAAGGTCTTCCTCCACAGCTGACAAACGCGTGCAGAGTGTCACTCCTTGGAGGGGATCAATCACTGCAGCAGCTCCAGTGCCTGGAAAGGTTTCACAGGAAAATTCCCAATGAGCTGCAGGAGGGAAGAGGGCCCAGCACCTGTGATCCCTCTTGCTGCAGGGAATGGCCAAATTGGAGATTTCCCCTCATTTCCAGACCTGACATGGAGCCAGCAGGAGGGGAAGGGCTCAGGCTGGTGTGAGAGGGCTGTGCCAGAGGGTTTGTCCTGCCTGAGCGTTTGTCATGTGCAGCTTGGCCTCCTGGTGACCCTTTGGGCAGAGCTGGGGCTGTCACAGCCCGGTCACCTTTTGGACAGTGCCTCTGTCCCCATTCCCAGCCATGAATCTTATGGGGCTGTAAACAGCAAAAAGAGCAGAACCACCCCCATCTCCCAGAGCAATCCCAGCCCCCTCTGCCCCTCCTGGCCGGCTCTGCCATTCCTCAGGAGGGTCTGTTCAGGATCACAGCCCCCACAAAGCCAGCACAGGATTTATAGCCCAATCTGCTCCTCCCTGTGAGTGCCTGGGGACCCTGGTGGCCTCTGGGCAGGGGGAGGCATGGGGACAGAGAAAGGACAGGCAGGGAAAATCTTGTGGGGATGAGGATGGGGATGGGGGTCAGTGAGGCACTGGGGGTGTTTGCTGTGTCCTGGAGGGGCTGGGGCACATCCAGAGGGGTGAAATATCCCAAAACCAGGAGCTGAGGGGTGATGGGTAAGGGCCCCGCCATGCTGAGCGTAAATCACTGCTCACCAGAGCAACCCCACCCCCCAAGAAAAGCCCCCTCAGCACCAGGCAAACACAGCTGCCACACCGGTGACATCAGAATTGTGCCTTTGAGCCGTCATTGGCCACAGGAGATTCTCTTGTTGTTTTGGCTTTAATTTTCTTTTTCTTTTTTTTTTTTTTTTTTCTGGGGGTCTGCACAAAATGCCACTAATGACAAACTGTGGTGCCTGTGAGTGAGTGACAGCTGAAATGAGAGAAATGACTAATGGTGCCTCCTGAAGCCCTGTCACATGGAGATTAAATGAGCCCTTTTTTCTTCCCCCCTCAATGAGAATCATGGGCATTTGAATAATAATATTATAGTCTCCATTAGGATGACAGTGGGGGAAAAAATCGGCTCAGACCTGTGATTATTCCTTCAATCTAATAATTATTTAAATACCAGATAACTCCTTTCAGCCTAATTGAGGCCTTTCAGCTGCTTGGGTTTATATTGTGTCCCTGAATTTACTCTCTCTTTCACCTTGCGTTACTAATAGCTGCAGATTGCTTCTGAGGCTGTATTTTAAAACTCTCTTCAGAAAAAAAAAAAAAGAAAGAAAAGAAAGAAAGAGAGGGAAAATTAATGATCAAATGGTATTAAGGGTGAGAGTTAATATCATCCATTCTGCTGCTGTTTAACTCCCCAGGTGTTTGGCCTGCTCCACAGGGATGGTTTGGGTTGGGAGGGACCTTGATGCTCATTCAGGGCCATTTAATCCACTGGGAATCCCAGAGTGGTTTGGGTTGGAGGGGACCTTGAAGCTCATCCTGGGCCATTTAATCCACTGGGAATCCCAGAGTGGTTTGGGTTGGGAGGGACCTTGATGCTCATCCTGGGCCATTTAATCCACTGGGAATCCCAGAGTGGTTTGGGTTGGAGGGGACCTTGAAGCTCATCCAGTGCCACCCTGTTGCATTCCACAGCAGCAGATCACCATTGTTTACAGTTTGTTCCCGAGGCTTCTCAGCTTCTCAGGAGAAAAAATCCTAAGGAAAGGATTTTCCATAAAGTGTGCCTGTGACACACTGAGAGGGTGGCAGGGCCCGTGTCCTCCCCAGGACAGACAAACTGCCAAGGTGGGAATGCCGGGCCTGGCAGCGAGAGGGAAGCAGCTGGGGCAATGTGTCCCTGAGCAGAATGACAAAGCCATCAGGGCTGCCTCTCCTGCCGTGTCTCCTGTCAGAGGCACAGGCAGGGACAGAGCTCCTTTGTCACCTCTCAGGAACAGCCCTCTCCAGCTCCCGGCAGGAACAAGGCTAAAGAGAGAGCGGCTGTGGGTGACACTGCAGCTCAGAGCGCCCCTGCAGGGCTGGGAATTGGTGGAAATTCAAATAAAACCACACCAGGAGCAGCAGCAGGGGCTCAGAGCTGCAGAGGGCAGGGTTCCCGTGGGGTGTGTGGGATGTGATGGGTGCAGCGTGGTGCCTCATCCTCATCCTCATCCTCATCCGGGGTGACCCCAAGTTGAGGGAGGGTTCTCTGAAGTGGTGCCTTTGCCTGCCCAGCCTGGAGCACGTCAGGAATGAGTAATTTGGGATAAAGGAGAACTTTGTGGTGGTTTTCTGGCACTCAGACACCTCCATGGGCAGGTCAAGCCAGCTGCTCTAGACTGTGGTGTCTCTCCTGCTGGCAGGGCTTGGTGGCTGACCTAACCGTGTGCTCCCACCTTGGTGGCAGCTGCTTTTTGGCAGGAAAGTACCTTGTGAAGGAGCTCCTGCCTAAAAAGCACCTGCTTGAGAGGCACTTGTGGCTCTGGGGAGGGTTTGAGGGGAGATGTCAGCGCCTTCAGTGTGCGCTCAATGAGCTTGCCTGCACGAGGCTTCTTCCTCAGGTTCCCAAATTAAATCAGGGAGGTTTTAAAGGTAAAGAACAGCTCTTATTTCCTCTGCTGCTTCCAGCAACACACCCTGCAGGAGACATCCTTTCAGCCAAGATTGCAGATGGGTGACTGGGGCTGTGAGCTGCGGGCTTTGTCTTGGGCTGGAGCTGATTCTCCCCTCCCTGTCTGAGCAGAGCATGTTCTAAACACCCAAATTAAGATGCAGGGGCTGAAACAAGTGGCAAAGCATCAAGCCTGAACTGCTCTCCACTAAGTTATGGACTCGCTTAATTCTCGCTGTGCTTAGAGACATCCTCCCTTTATCTCAAGGACTGTGTAATTAGAAAGCCTCCTTTGAATTTTATCTGCAGGGCACACAGGATCTAATCTTTGGCTCCGGGTGGTTCTTCTCTCCACAGAACCATGTGAGGGACGTTGCCGGGGCTCAGGACACGCGCGGGGGACACGGAGCTCTCCTTTCCCAGGATGGATCAGAGGAGGACCTGGCCTCGCCTACGGGACTCTGATGGCTGCCCAGTGGCTCTGCTCTGCCTCCTCCTGGCATCGCTGTCCCGGGACGTGTCCAGCAATGCCTCCTTCAACACTTTCCACTCGGAGAACCGCGACTGGACGTTCAACCACCTGACGGTGCACCGGGGCACCGGCGCCGTCTACGTGGGGGCCATCAACAGGGTCTACAAGCTCTCGGGGAACCTGACCATCCTGGTGGCTCACAAAACCGGCCCCGAGGAGGACAACAAGTCCTGCTACCCTCCCCTCATCGTGCAGCCCTGCAGCGAGGTCCTGACGCTCACCAACAACGTCAACAAGCTGCTCATCATCGACTACTCCGAGAACCGGCTGCTGGCCTGCGGCAGCCTCTACCAGGGCGTCTGCAAGCTGCTGCGCCTCGACGACCTCTTCATCCTGGTGGAGCCCTCGCACAAGAAGGAGCACTACCTGTCCAGCGTCAACAAGACGGGCACCATGTACGGGGTGATCGTGCGCTCCGAGGGCGAGGACGGGAAGCTCTTCATCGGCACAGCCGTGGATGGCAAGCAGGATTATTTCCCCACCCTGTCCAGCCGCAAACTGCCCCGGGACCCGGAGTCCTCGGCGATGTTGGATTACGAGCTCCACAGCGACTTTGTCTCGTCCCTCATCAAAATCCCCTCGGACACGCTGGCCCTGGTTTCTCACTTTGACATCTTTTACATCTACGGCTTCGCCAGCGGGAACTTTGTGTATTTCCTGACAGTGCAGCCGGAGACCCCCGAGGGCGTCTCCATCAACTCCGCCAGCGACCTCTTCTACACCTCGCGCATCGTCCGCCTGTGCAAGGACGACCCCAAGTTCCACTCGTACGTGTCGCTGCCCTTTGGCTGCGTCAGGGGTGACACCGAGTACCGCCTGCTGCAGGCCGCCTACCTGGCCAAGCCCGGGGAGGTGCTGGCCAGGGCCCTCAACATCACGGCGCAGGAGGACGTGCTCTTTGCCATCTTCTCCAAGGGGCAGAAGCAGTACCACCACCCGCCCGACGACTCGGCGCTCTGCGCCTTCCCCATCCGCACCATCAACGCGCACATCAAGGAGCGCCTGCAGTCCTGCTACCAGGGCGAGGGCAACCTGGAGCTCAACTGGCTGCTGGGCAAGGATGTGCAGTGCACCAAAGCGGTAAGGGTGCGCTGGGTGGGGGCTGTGGGGGCCCTGGAGGGCCGGGTTCAATCCCTGCCCCAGTGAAACACCAGTTTGCAGAGTAGGATCAGCCTGTCTGTGCCTCAGTTTCCCTAAATTCAGAGCATCTTCCCCTTTAATCCACACTCTCATCCTACAGTGGGATGACAATGAGGGAAGGGGTGGTGTTAAGGCAGAATAAAGTGTGCAGCTTCCTGGGAGTCTCTGTCACTCTCAAACCAGGGCTCTGGAAGCTGCAGGAGCTCTGGGGAAGGTGGCTGGAGCTGGCAGGGTTGACACATTGGTGACCCCAACCCTGCTGCCAGCACCCTCCACACCACCCCGAGCGTGTGGGGCCTCCCTGGGCTCTGTGTCACTCACAGCTGCCCCAAACCTTGTCTTTCCAGCCAGTCCCCATCGATGACAACTTCTGCGGGCTGGACATCAACCAGCCCCTGGGGGGCTCGGTGCCCGTGGACGGGGTGACGCTCTTCACCTCCAGCCGCGACCGCATGACCTCCGTGGCTTCCTACGTCTACAACGGCTACAGCGTGGTCTTCGTGGGCACCAAGACGGGCAGGCTGAAGAAGGTGAGCCCTGTCCGTGGCTGTGGAGGGCCAGGAGCTGCTCTGGGGTTGGTCTCTCTTCGATGCTGGCCAGGGTTGGTCTCTCTCGGGATGCTCTGGTGCACCTCTCTGCTGCCGCTGCGCCTCACGGGTGTTTCCCAGCAGGAAAAAGGGAGCGAAGCAGGAGTGGGAATGGCAGGGTGTGGGTCACAGCCTGGTGTTGGAGAGGCAGAGGCCAGCTCTCAGTGTTGTGGTGTGGTTTGTTGTGGAATGCCATTTTTGGGAAAGGTGAAGTTGAAGCTGCTGCAGGATGGTTCTGGAAAAGGAACCAAAGGAGGTCAGATGGAAATCTTGCAATGGTTTTGTTTCCCAGCAATCCTTCTGCAGCTGCTGTAGCAGAGTGTGAATTACAAAGCCCTTGCTGGTGCTGGCAGGATTTTGGTCATGGAGAGGCAGGAATGGGTTAATGTGGCTGCTTTTGGAACCAAGCCTCAGGGCAGAGTCCTGCTGCTCCCTGTGCCTCTTCCCTCCTGCTGGAAGATTGATCAGCCCTGGAACATTCCTTGTCCTTTGCACCACAAACATCGAGGGGGGTGGTGGGGCTCAGGTGAGAGTCACAGAATGTTTCTGGGTTGGAAGGGACAAGGACACCTTCCACCAGCCCAGGCTGCTTCAAGCCCTGTCCAGCCTGACCTTGAATGACTTTTAGGCCTTTGAAGCCCAGCTGGGATTTCGCCACTTGTGAGTCACAAAACCACAGAATACTCTGAGTTGGAAGGGAACTCTCAGAGGAGTTCTGCATTTAAAATAAGTCTGGAAGTGGCCTTGGGGTGTAAGCAGAGGTGTCAGAGAGCCCTTGCTGGCCTTTGGAGCTGGAGCTGCAGCTGGGAGCCTGCTCAGCAGTGGGTCTGATCCAGCTCCAGCAAAAACAGCCCCGGAGCTGCTGCTCTGGCAAGCTGAGACCCTTCCAATTAACCTCAGCTCTAAATGACAGCATTAGGTGAACCTGTTAAATGCAGCCCCTGCTCCTCCACGCCGGGGAAAGAGTTAACAAATGTAATCAACAGCAGGCTGTTAATTTTTTGAGTCCTTAAGCAGCAGGGAATTTCTTCCTCATCTATCCAGGAAGATACAAGGACAGGCAGATACTACACTTGAATGTCTGCATCATTTTAATTACATCAGCTCATTAATATTCATTCTGCACTTTACAAGTGCTGAGTAGTAGTAAATTAGGTGCCTCCCTGGTGCCTCTCGAGTGTCAGTGGGGCAATTTGGAACGCGGGGGAGAGGGAGCTTGTAAAGCAGAGCCCTGCACTCGCCTGCCGTGGCACAGGGGAGAGCCGGGGATTTTTACCTAAATGGAAGAAAAGGAACCCACAGCACATCCCAAATGCCTGTGCCAAGCCTGGAATGGGGATGCAGGAGGGGATGCAGGGGATGCAGCAGGAGATGCAGCAGGGATGCAGGAGGGGATGCAGCAGGGCATGCAGCAGGGATGCAGCAGGGGATGCAGGGGATGCAGCAGGGATGCAGCAGGGGATGCAGGGGATGCAGCCCCGTGCTCGCTGTGGGCAGAATTTGGGGACATGGAAGGCTCCTCTTCCAGAGGCAGCAGCAGCCAAGGGCCTGTGCCTGCACACGAGGCATTTACGGGCTTGTTCCATGAATTATGGAGGATTACAGAGGCAGCAGCCTCTCCAGCAGGGTTTAATTCCTGTGCTAGTTGCACTGAACGCTTTCTGATGCAAAGTTAATCTATTCCTGCTCCGCTGTCCAGAGGGAGGCTGTGGAATCCTTCACCTGCAATCCTTCATCTGTTGGATGAAAATTGGCCCGTCTCTGAAGCGAATTCATCCCAGACATTCACTACCATCAGGTTTTCATGGCATCTGCCCTTATTTAACAGCAGAGCTGCCTGCAGCTGGTGGGATCCATCCCCCTGTAATTAACTGGAACAATCCCTGTGTGGGGCTGAGCATGCTGTTCTCTCTCTCCCGGCTCTGTCTGCACCTTTAGCAGGTTTTCCCTCCTTTGACACATGGGATTACCTTTCCACACCCGAGGGAGCCCAGGTGAGGTGGAGGAAGCAGGTGAGGGGCTCTGGCTGCAGAGGAGGGAAGTTCACAGGTTGTCTCTGCGTTTTGTGCCTGTTCCAAGATAACCAGACCTGTCTGGAAGTCAGGGAGTGCTCAGGATGCTCAGGACTCTCCTCCTCTCCCCTTCCCATCTGTGAGATGACGGTGGAACCATCCAGCACCTCTGTGAGTGCCAGGGATTGGTGCAGAGCCTTCTCCACCTGATCTCCTCTGTCCTCCTCCATCTCAGATTTACCCACACCGTTAACGTCTGAAAGCTTTGTCACACCTATTCCCTCGCCCACAGCTGTTGATTTCCTTTGGAAACAAGCTGCTGCCTCCGTCTGGGCTGCCAGGGAAGGCACTTTTGTGTGGCTGGAGGAAAGTCAGGGAGACAACTCCGAAATCTTTCACATTTGCTGTGCTCCCCCAGTGAGCATCCCTCACTGGGAACACTGGGATATCCATGGTGTCCTCCTGCCTTTAGCTCTGCACCAGTGAGGATCCCTCACTGGGAACACTGGGATATCCATGGTGTCCCCCTGCCTTTCACCTCACTGCTCCTGCCACATTCCCAGCTCCTGCTGCTTCTGCTCCCCAGGAATTGTCTCATAGAGGGTGAAAAGCAAATGCTGCTGATGCTGTGGCTCAAGCACAGGTACGTGGGATGGAATTCTCCCTCCTGCTCTCCTCCCAAAGCACCTCAGCCTCCTGGCTGTGGGAGGAAGGAAAAAAGGGGCCCATGTTGGAGACACAACCATTCAGAACTGGGGATTCCTCCAATAAAACCGTTTCCATCAAGCAAAATGAGAAGGGACATTAATGCAACAGTTAACAGGAACTAAGTGCTGGGGGGAGATGTGTCAGCTTGCTTGTTCTGTTTATGGGCTCCATACAATTCTATCAATATTGATGCGTGATGCCTTTGATTTTGACACTAATCATTGCCACGAATTAAATTTGCAGCCATATAATTAGAACTGCTATTAATAGGGCCTCAAGCTAAGCACTGCTGTGCTAGTTGGCTTTTTCCTGATGGAAAACGGCATCCACGGAGCTCAGCTCATGTGGTGTGCCCAGGAGGGGCTGGGCCTGATGTGGGAATTGCACAGGCTGTGCTGAGAGGGGCTCCTGTGGAAGGCAGGTTTGTGGGGAGGGTCTGGCTCAGAGGTTTCCCAGGAATTCCAGAGCTGCCCTCCAACTCCCCAGTGGTTTGGTGCTCTTGGGATGCCTCGGCGGGAGAGAGGAGGATTGCAGGGAGCACAGAGCAGCTTTCAGGGCTGTTGTTGCTGTGTTCCCATCTCCCCCTCCCCGTGGCAATCCCCCACGTGTCCCCCCGGCCCAGCAGAGCTGTGTCAGCCCCGTGTCCCTGTGCACGCCTGGTTCCATCTCATCAGCCTGAGCTCAGCCCGCGATGGCAGCGAGGCTCACCGCTAAAAATCAATCTTGTATTTCATCCCGAGAGGTCTGCTTCTTATTAGGTCTAATAAATCAGTGAAGTGCCCTTCATTCAGCTTGTCAATGCAGGACATTGTTTGTGATCAAGAATAAATAAATGTCTCTGCTCTGTCTGCCAGTCGCCATCTAGGTATCATTGTTCCATCACTCTGTTTATGCTGGCTGCAGGAAAAATGCAGTTCCTGCAGCCTTGCCTGCCTTCCCACGGGCTGGGAGGGCTCCTGGGTGGCAGAGGAGAGGGAAAAGCTGAACAGTGACGTTGTGCCTGGGTTTCACCCAGCGCTGAGTTGCTCAGTGGTGATAAGGTTTTAATTTGTGTGCTCGGAGGTGTGGGGGTGTTGCAGTGCTGCAGGCCAGGGGCCAGGTGTGGTTATTTCAGTGCCCTGAGGTGAAGGATGAAGTGTGTGAATGAAATCACCCCCAATTCTCCTGGAAAAGGAGAATTCTCCTATTGTCCTGGCCACCTGTGACACTGTCCCAGGGCAGCTGCACTGGACATGGCTTGAATCCATCCCAGGGTCACTGCTCAGTGTGCCTGCAGGATGCCACAGAGAGATGCACAGTGCTGGCACTCTGTTCATGCTGGGAACACTCTCCTGTCACCTGCAGAACCCCTGAACTCTGTCCTTGCTCCTGCATTTCCCAAGGGACAGCCGTGAGCCATTGGGCAGCGCCGCCGGAGGAACGCAGAACTTTTAAGTGCCTCCTTACGTCTTGGGACGTGAGAGTTTTATTCAGCTTGGCTGATTTAATTTGTTCCATTAGTGGGAATAAAGGAGGTCTTTCACAATGAAATATATATGTCCAGACCTGTCCTTAGATGACTTCATTTTATGGGTGCTTATCTCACCCCGGTGATTTATCCTTCGTTATCGCCCCCGCCACACTCCAGGAACAACTCGGTTGCATCAGCCTGTGGAGAAGCCAAGAGGACACCAGGCTGTTATTGAGCAGATGAAAACCATCCATTTGCAGGCGCCTTCCTGAGGATTTGTCTGGTTTTAGCTGCAGGCTGGGGGGTCAGGGGCTCTGCTGGCTCCCTGGCCAATCCATCACCCTGGGAGCGCAGATCCCATATCCCAGCAGAGGTGGGAGAGGGCAGATGGTTCTTGTCTGGCTGAAGAAGTTGTTTAATTGAAAGGTCTGAGAAGAAAAGTCTGATTTTTGCCCAGTGGTGTGAAATAAGGGGGTGTTTGTCCAGTACTGGACTTGCTGCTGTGGTTGGAGGAGCTGGGATTTATTTTCTCCCTAAACGAGGAGGGTAATTCCCCTTTGCTTCATCTGTGCTGAAAAGTGTCCCCAAAATGCCCCACGGTCCCTCACATTTATTATTTTTCATATCCAGAAGTTGGAATCTTATTAATTGGAAGTTGTGCTGGGGAATGGGAAATGGAAGCCAGAGGAGAGCTCTGGGCTGTGTTTGGGGCTGCAGATGGGGCAGAGCTGCCAAGTCCCTCCAGACTGTGGCTCTGAGCACTCAGCAATGTC